TCATCATCATCATCATCATCATCATCATCATTATTATTATTATTGTTATTAATAAACACTTTCAAAGTGGAGTACGGAGCGTGAGTTAGTAATTCGTTGTATCTTGTTTTGTTAGTGGAAAGTAAAGTTCCCAAGTCAGGCTTGGAAACAAAGAGTGTTGTTCCTTGGTCTATTTCAAGCACCTGTACATATCACACAGGACGTTCTACTTTCATAGCCTACTAAATTCGGTTATCAAATAATTGCATTGGTCACAGCTTAGAAACAGTGACAGTTGAGAGAGCAAGACCAGTGGTGGCAGTTCAGCGCTTCGCCAACGCTTACAGAAAATGCGAATCAGAATCCATTGTTTGTGTGTGTGTGTGTGTGTGTGTGTGTGTGTGTGTGTGTGTGTGTATGTGTTTTAATACTTTAAATAAATCTTGGATCTGGAATCTGCTTTGAAATACACAAAGGGTTCTTCAATCCAAATGTCTCACTTTGATTTATAAAACGCTGGAACCTTTCTTTCGGAGACAGCGGGAATAACTGTTTTCATCTTTTTAAATGTCGCCATAACGTTTAACAAAGTTGTTGACACGTCTGTCTACCTCATCCTCATTAACTTCCTTAGACACTTGTTTGAGAAAACCTGGATTCTCTTTATGAAAGTCTGAGATACGTACCATTATGGTACATACTCCCCATGATCAATTTTTGCCAATGTTAAGAGTTAACTGTGTCACTGGTTATTTTCTTACCTTTTTCGAAGCTATAAATGACCATTTCAGCCCAGAGTGAAGGGCAGATAAGATGCCAGTTCTGCAAAATAGTATATTTTTTGTTTGTGACCTGTATAATTCTATTCGTGACTTGCAGCAAACACACAGAAAGGACAATCTTTTGACATGTTTGGCATCATTTATTATAGAACATTGTTTGGGTTACTAACTAGCCCATGATAAGGAAAGGTGACTATACAATATTATAGAATTGAGGTGAAAGTATGTGCTCGTCAAAAGATTGAAATCAAAGATATTTGCATTGTTATTGCCGTTGGGCAATTTTATTTATTTATTTTTCTCTCATATTTAATGTCCGTTTGAAAACACATTTAGATGTATGTGTGGATTTTACTGAAAACTTTGTACAAAGGCACAATAAAATTTAAAATTTGCTGTCTCCCACCCCCCTCTCCCCCTTTCCGCGGAAAAAGCCCAAAGCAACAAAACGCAAATCATTTTTTTTTTTAAATAGTGTATACTAATCAATGATTAATTTCAAGATCATGTAGATCTCGGTCTGCGCAGAACATTTCATTAATACAATAAAGAACAACATACCGTAAAGTTGATTTAACTAAAATGCATCTCTTCACCTCATGCTGAACATGGCAATTATTAGTTCGCAAACGCACTGTCATCTTCATTGTCTATGTTAATTCCGTTGTCATGTTTACTATTATCCTAACTGGCACTGTTATAATTATCGATATTGTCGATGCATTTATTGGGGTCATGTCATGGTCATTTTTTTTTTGTTATTAAGATTGTCTAAAATAGTTTGGGCACTGAAAAAATGCGTGGGAACGGGGCGATGTGTCAATTTCGTCTCAAGTTCGCTTTATTTCACTCAAAGCAGTGTTGACAAATATTTAAAGGAAATTGACAGGTTTGTATTCCGTGTTCGTTATACCAAGTGCAATCAACTGATAATCCCCTGAAAAAACGACAACAGGATCAATTGGTTAACAGATTGTTGGAGGGAAGTGTCATTCAAACGCAAACTCTTTGTCAGAAGAAGAGGAGTTGATGCTTTATTTTTAAAATAAATGTGTTGGACGTAGGCGAAATGAATTGAAACTGGATTTTTAAAAATTGCTTCTGATTTTTTCCCTTTCTGGAATATTAAACAACCTGCGGACAATGCTGATATATAAATGTCATCGGCTTCGATTTTTAAGAGGGGTGAATTTTGTATTACTGTCTGGATTTTTTCGGTGGGATGTATTAATTTTTTTTAAGGGTTGACCTCTATAGGCGGAATTCCCAGCCTCTTAAATAACCTAATAGTGTTGATAGGGTCGTTAAAGCTCTGCCAGCTCTACAATTTCACCATTTCACCTTCTAACAAGCACCCCATTCACAATCACTGGTGTGTAGCCTTCCTATAAACAGTTAATATGAATATTTTTGAAGAGTGTAGAACCCAGAAATTTGTGGGCACCATTGAAGAGCCTAGAGAATCACTCTCCGACTTTTGGTTGTATTATGCACCCCTCTTTCATTTACTATTCATAGATTGTTTAAAAATCTTCTGCTTGGCAGTGGGTTATCAGTATTTATAGCTGCCTTATTGCCTTCGCCAGTTTCCAGCTAAAATTATTTTCATACACAATTGACAGGCCTGTGATTTTCCAATCACATCATTTTCCATATTATTTATCATTTAAAAAAATGTTATAATACTGTACTTCTAACACTTGGCTTTCATCTCTTTACAATGATAGTGACCATAATTTTCTTCAACGACCTTTAAATGGCGACGTGGTTTTTGGTGTTGTGCAGTGCGGTAGCCGCCGTGCGACATTCATTGGTGCGTAAACTGAACTTTGATGCTTTAGTTTTTTAATTGAATACTTACTTGAATACTTGAATGTAGAACTGGGGTCTTAAGAAGACGGGGTGTTCCATGTTTTTGAGTTACGGTATTTACACCTAACTTTTTGGACCTCGTTTAACTTTAGGGGGATTAGGAACAACTCTCTTTGGCCAGCAGCAGTGACTCAATTTGTTACAGCTTTTTTCCTCCAACGGGCCCCCGGAAATTTCAGTGTGCCAAAACTATGCTGATTTAATTTTAGCGTGGTGTTTATCGTTGTGGTTAGCATTATGATATTAGAATACGTGTGTTTTAGGTACAGATAAATGTTGTGACTTTTGGTGCAAAAATCTTTGTTACTGTTCTCATGGATATAACACTTACTGTTGAATTTATCTCAACTGTTATCACTGCATTTGTTGCTGTTGTTGTTGTTGTTGTTGTTCTTCTTCTTCTTCTTCTTCTTCTTCTTCTTCTTCTTCTTCTTCTTCTTCTT